GCCCTCCTTTATCTTATCAGAGCCCATAATTACAATTGCTATTTTGTTTCCTCGAATCAGCAATCAGCGCTATCTGCCGCCGCTGGAGAGGCAGCTCCTGTCAGCCGGCCTCTGAGTGACAGAGCGGCGGGCCGCACGGCTGCACCCGCACCCCCCTGCACCCGCACACAGCCCCGCACACGCCTGGGCAGCCCCCTGCACACACACGTGTGCGCTCACAGCCCCCACACCCGCGCACGCCCTTGCGCTCCCGCAAGGCTTGCACACGCATGCGGCCTTCCCCATGCAGGACCCCTCCTTCCCACTCGTGCCCCACACACGCAGCCTCGTATGCACACACGCACGCAGCCCTTCGCACGCTTCTCCTGGCTTGCACCTACCCAAAAAGACACCCTCGTGCCTCACACACGCCAGCTGCAGCCCCGGGGCTTTTCTCTCACGCACACACTGACATCCAGCTCACGCATTTTCCCCCTTGCTCAGACACCCAGCAAACCCAGACACACACCCCCCTCACTCCTCTTGCAATTGCACACAGTGTTTCACCCCAAAATGCTGCCTACAGTCACTGCCAGGGACGGATCTCTGAGGGGTGGCAGGGGTCTCACTGGTCTTGCCCAGCATCATCACTGCCGGGGGTGCTGCAGGCGGGCAGGGGAGCCTGGGCACTGCCTTGTCTCCAGCCTGGCCTCGCAGAGATCAAGGAGAATATCAGCCCCTGCGTTGGCATCATCCTGGAGCAGGAGTGGGTTTCCATGGGCAGTACACACTCACATGCTCAACTCATCGGTCCAGCATCAGGCTCAGGAGATAAACCCTTTGCGTGGAGCTCAGCAAACAGCTGATGTGCCACAGCACGGGTGAGGCAGCTCCCCGTATCTACCTCTCTGGGTTGCCTAAGGAAAATGAGGCAAAACCAGAGCATGCAGAGCTTGATATTCCCGATGCTCTAAGTTCAGACCACTTTTCTATATATAGAAAATTAAGGGGATTTAGGGCCTATTTCCCAGACACTGCTCTTGCTCATCAGCAGCCACCCCTGCTTTACCTCTGTGTCAGGCCACACATCGCCCTGCACACTGTTCAACAGCACCATGTCCAGAACAGCCCAGGCTGCCTTAAACTGGGAGATTTATGGTGTCCCGTACAGGGTCAGAGGCAGCTGCAAGCCGACAGCCCCGCGTGCCCCCTGACAGGCTCAAGTGCCAGTCATGGCTGTAAAATCAAGCCGGTGCAGGATCACCCAGGGACGGCCACACGTCGCCTGACAGCGGATGACAGACGATGCTCCTGCCAGCCATCCTCGAGCTCGCAGCCAAAGCCTCCACAGCCCCCGTCCTACCCCACCTTTGGGAAGCAGAGAGACACAAGCGGGTTGGTGACAGCAGCTGGGGACAGGAAACATCACGGCTGTCAGGCTCATCCTGCCTCTGCTGCTGCCTCAAGCTCCTGGCCATGGTCTGCTCCTTGCAGGGAAGTCAGGCACCTGCACAGAGACATGTGCCTCCTTTCTTGGTGCTTCCCAGCCCACAATGGTTTCAACCATGTTCACATGATGAATGACATGCTCCACCCCCCGGCATTTGTTTTTTAATTAAAAAACAAACCATTTTGGAAAGTCTCTCTCCTGTGCAAGGTGGCACAAGGGAAATCAGCCTGCCTGTCAGCTCCTTTGCAGGCCATCTGAGCTAAGCCCCCTGGTCCACAGAGTGAGGGTCCCCTCCATCCCTAAGCACTGAGGCTAAATGACCTGTCTGGCCCTCCTGCAGAGCAGAGAAACCCCAGCCTGCCACTCCTGAGACCAGCTGGGCCTCAGGCCAAGCTACTATTGAGTTGGTGGAAGAAATCCCTTCCCAGCAGAAAGACTTGGGGACCTGCTGTGTCCCCAGCACTCCAAGCAGCCATCAGGCTGCAATCCCTGGAGGAGACTCCCAGCACGGTCCCATCAGGTCCCGTCCTGATGCCCCACTGCTCCAATGCCCTGATCTGCAGAACTGGGACCGTGTTAAGGCTGGGCAGACAGAGGAGTGATTCCCTCAGACAGTAGCTCGTGTATTTTGTGTTATTTGGGGATGTTAAATGCTGCAGATGAAGCATCAAACACCAGAGATGTGAGCTTCAACCCTCTCATCCCTTTTCCCACAAAGTTGAAGGTGCTCAGGTGCAGCTGCAGAGCTGCAACACCAAGAAGCAGGAGCTAAGAGAGAAACCAGGACACAGAGATGGCTGGACCAGCCTGACTGGGATTCAGGCTTGCTCCCAGACCTTCCCCACCTCTGTCTCCCCTTTGCACCCCACATAGAGCCTCCTGACAGCCAGGAACAGTGGGAGCAGCTCCTGGAGCAGCCCAGACTGCAGTCTGGCTGTGAGCAGACCAGGAGAGGATTTGAGGAGGTGGAGGGGGCAGTAGGCAAGAGACTGTGAGACCCGGGGAGGGGGCTGCCTGTGCCACTGTACAGCAGAGACTGGAGAGAGCACAGAGGATGCTGGGGGGGTTTCTCCCCATTCCCCCTGCGATCCTTAGCGCTGCACACCCACCCAGGGCTACCCCAGCACTAGCCCTGCCCTCTCCCAGGATGTCCCTTTGCACAACTGCAGGACACAGCCGGGTCCCAGCTCCAGCTTCCAGCCTGCTTATTCTAGGGCATCATCCCTGTCTGGCCTAGTCCAGGTCAGAAGTGGTCCACAGACACCCCTCCTCTCCTGCAAGGCAAGGGATGGCAGAGCAAGCCCCCACTCCCCTCAAGAGGTCAAAGCCAGCAAGGTGTAGCTGTTACCAGCTCCTCCCTGCGCATCAGCCTAAAACCTCCCCACTAGCATCTCTTACTTCAGAAAGGCAGAGCCAAGAAAAGCAACACCAACCATGGCTTTAGGGGCAACCAGTCCAAACTGGGGTGAGTGGAGACAAGGGCTTCCAGCAAACTGGGAGTTCACATCACAAGAGGAGGCTGGGAGAATTTGTGGTGAGCAGCAGCTGGCAAAACACCGACAGGAGGTTTGACTTGAACATCTCTTTACCAGGGGAAACTACCAGGCAGAAAAGCAACCAGGACATTGCTGTCACTCGCAGAGAAGGACCAACAGGCACAGTTCCCTGTTCCTGCCAAGCCAGGGACATAGACAGGACCACAGCGCTAATCCCGAGTGATGGAGGAGAGCAGCACCTGCAACAGCACGCTGCAACACTGAGCCGGCCGGAGGGAGAAGAGACCTCCTCTCTGCAGGCACAGAGGGCTCGGGGAGGCTGCAGAGCAGTTGCCTTTGAAAGGGGACAGACAGTGCAGACAGTGGAGTGGCTGGCATGGGGTTGAGGGTTAGCCAAAGGCTAAGACACACAAAGATGAGGTCATGGGAGTGCAGGCAGCACTGCCCTGCACACAAGCATCTCCCTCCCCTCCAACACCATACTATGGAGGGCCAAAATGTATGAAAACCAGGATCCTGTAGCACTTTACAGTCATGTCTGGAGGATGCTTGGCTATAAACCAGATTTTCCACCCCAAAATAAACACATGGAGGCTTCCCAGCAGAGCCAGAGGGATGCTAGCCCACTCCACTCTTCCAACTTCCAGTCCCGTGGCCCAGTGGCTCCAGCCCCGTCCGCTGATCCTTCGCAAAGGGACTGCAGCATTAATGGGCCGTTTCAGAGGCAACAGCAGCTCTGCCATGGCTGAGCAGCACAGAGCAGCCTGAGGCAATCCCACCACTCGCCATTAACCTGCCCCCCTCCCCAAAGGGAAGGAACTTGGCCAAACCCCACAGAGATGTGTTACATGGGAATGACCTTGTCTTCGCTACCCACAGTGCCAAGGCAGCCCCAGGGCAAATGAGGAGTGGGAAGGGGAGACACAGCCCTCTCACAATTAATTCTCCTCTCTATTCAATTACTAGCAGCAGGCTTGAGACATGTTTCCTGGGCAGTGGGAACGCCAGGCCAGAAGACTACCCGTGTGTTCTGGTCTCAGCCCCCTGGAGGACCAGCCTGGGTGACGTGGTCCCTCTTCAGCAGTCTGCTCTCACAGCTTCATTTCAGGGATCTGAGCTCCCTCCTCTACCCTCATAACCTCCTGTGCCTCCTGCCCAGCAGCTTTCTAGAAACATGACCTTTGCTTCCATAGTTTCAGGCTGTGCTCCTGGAAGTGCTGGTGTCCATAGTGACTTCATCATCCTCCAGTGTCCACGTGCTGATCTCTAGGCAGCAATGCTCCTGTGGATCAGCGGAGTCAAAGCAAGTCTCTGCTTTCCATCCAGGCTGGGTGGTTTGGAGGAGAGTTCACCACCCACATCAGCAAGGCTGCCAGCGTGGCAGGGGTGGCAGAGCAAGATTTCATCCAGGGCAGTCCATGGATGCACAGAGGAACTTCCCATTGGTGTTAGGCATCCACCTCATGGCTACATTAGGTTCTGATAAAACCAGTGTTATTTTAATCTCTGGCATCCACACCCATTGTGGCAGGGCTCAGAGGTGAGCCAAACATATGGGTAAAGATCTGGCAGAGCTGAGCGAGGCCAGGAGACTTGTGGAGGGCACTGGAGGGGAGAAACACCCCCAAGTCATATCCATCTGCAAGGAGAGAGAACTGGGATGGCTCTGCAACCACCCAGCTTGGGAAGGGGTCCACACAGAGACACACAGCTGGGCTTGAACCAGGCAAGCCAGAAGCAAAGACTGAAGGCTCCCAATGAGGACAGTTCATGTGGGAGCAGCTCAGGGAGAAGGTGGCATCCCCAGCCCTATGTGATTTAAACCCGAGGTTGAGCAGTTTTGTGCAAACCTGCTCTGCATCTAACAGGGATCAGTAAACCAGCAGCCTGACCAGGAATGGCCATGACACATGTGCATGAGGAAGGGGTGACACACATGGACGTGGCTGAGGATGTGTGTGCTCATGGCATTGAAGCAGCTCCACTTGATTCCTGACCCCACTGCACAGACAAACAGCACCTCAAGGACCTGGTCTCAAGACATTCCCAGCTGCCACAACTTCCCCAGCATTGTAGCCCCAGCCCAAGCAGCAGCATCCTCCTCGGGGTCTCCAGCCACACACCATCAGGCAGGGATGGGAAGGGGCGTCAAAGCCAGTCTGGGTGGGAGGGGGCTCTACTGGCCACCCAGGAAGGTGGGAGCCATCACTCAATGCTCGGGGTCACTTTCCTCTCTGTGGGATGGACTCAGGGGCTCCATCAGGGCCACGAGGAGCTGAGGTAGAGATGCAAAATGCTGGCCCTTTGCTGACCAGCTCCAGCCTTGGCTCCCAGCCAGCTGGGCAA